TCAGTGTTTCCACTGACCCTCATATATCTTTAAAATTACAACACAGATGCCAAGGCTAACTGTAAACAACGGGTTAGCAACTGAGGCATTTAGACTTTTCACTTAAGCGTGTGCTTAAACTGAAATCCATTCTTATTCTGCAAATCCATTTTAAGTGTTTGCTTAAAGCAAAACACTTGCTTAAGTCAAGTTTTGCTTGGCACGGTGCTGAAGCACAGCACAGAGCTAGGGCCTTAGAATTAATTTCTTTTCAAAAGGAAGTCATTATTTTTAGCATACTCCTCAATGGCTACAGCCGTATCTTTGAGTCCCCAGATATCTATTTTCAGGAGGTATACGTGCTAAGCCTAAACTTCTGGTTTCAGTAACAATCAGTGGCACAGAAAAGATATCGAATACCGTTACTAGTGCAAAGAAAGAGACCACTTGAGATACTTGACTGCTAAGTACAGATGAGAGGGGCCTTCAGTGAGGCTCATTAGAGGGAAGACATAAAAGAAGTTGGGATTATTCTGGGAGGTGGCTGCTGATATGGCAGGTTATCTTTTCAGCGTTCTGACTGGAGAAGTTTCACTTGCAGTAGGTCAATAATTTTAACACAAAGTGTTTTCATGAGTATTCTCTGAAATATTTTATTTCCACAGGAAATTTATTATTTCGGGGAAAATGTTTATACTTTCCTCTAAAGTATAAAAAAAAATTTTTGGCTGCAATATGATAGTTTCCATGTTTTTTTCCCTGAAACTCTTCTTTAATATACAATAAAGTCCAAAAATTATTAAAGGAAATTTGATTTAAAAGAATTTTATTGCTCATTTCTCATAACTCTCATGCTAAGAAGACTCCTACCATTTGTTTCACTGCCTTAGACATGGGAGTTACTTATCCCAATATAAATGAATACCAACATATAGACCTGGCTAACCCAAATCTTGGGTTTTGCTCAATAGATCTGGCTTATGGCATGTCTGGAGGAGGAAGAATTGCATTTTCTAAGATCTTCTGTGAGGGATGCCCCACTGCATTCCCATTAATAGCCATACTTCATACAGAAGGTAGAAATACCAAGATAGGTTAATATACATTATTTTTTTTTTCTCTGTGGGCTTAAAAATCTCCTGCTTCCTACACCCTTGTGGTAGTGGTATGAATAAAACCTCATTCTGACTCCTGCAACTGATCTGTAGAAGAGCTTTGTAACAGCAGGAGAGTCAGGTAAGAGGACAAATCCCCCATGGAAATTCAGCACCGCTGTATTTGAAAGCAGACTGGACAAGCACTTGAAGAAGAATAATTTAGATACTGTTAATCCACTCCTGAGTAGGGTATCGTGATGACCTTTTAATACATGTTTAACCCTGTCCCAGTGGGAAAGTGCCGTCTTTCCCTTCCCCAGAAGCTTCCAAATTATTTCCAGGTAGAAGACCCCATTTAACCCTATCACTTGACCAGCACATTGCTTTACTAATCCACCTCCCTTGGTTTTTTCTACCTAGGAAAGTATGGGAAGGGCATGGAGCTGTCACCCACTACAGGGCAGTCACACAGTGATGGGATCCCAGAGTCAAGCCCACTTTTCTACACCTGCTTGTTCGGTATCTGGCTGTCAAGAACAGGTACTTCTTTCCTGCCAAAAGCCTACACTTCAATAAACATATAACCTGCCTTTCAGGACAAATATTTTCATGACTTATTCTAGGCTGCTAGGGAGCTGCTAAATCTGGTAGCCTGACATAGGGGAGGCTGCTGCAGCTCTGCAACCCTGGGTCCAGCCTGCAGCAATGCTGAGCGTGGATTCCCAGCAGGCTCAACGTGTATGCACTGACGGCTCCAGCGGCCAGCACAGGCAGAAACATTCAGCACCCACATGAGCAGCACCAATGGCCTCATCCTGCTCCCCTTTCTGGCAGATCAGGGTGAAGGTCTGTGAGTGCAAAATATATATAAAAATACACATGTGCGCTGCGGATCTCTCCAGTAACTGGTCCTGAATTATCGCTCTCCCCAGATGCCTCCTGCCCAGCACCACACACATACACACACACAAGTGTGCTGGATGAGGCTTTGAACAACCTGGTCTAGTGGGAAGTGTCCCTGCCCATAGCAGGGGGCTGGAACTAGATGATCTCTAAGGTCCCTTCCAACCCAAACCATTCTATGATACTATGATTCTAAGTACAAACAGGTCTTGGTGAACCACTGTGGGCTCTCCAGCCACTGGTCTGAACCCCCCCGGTCCCTCTGGAGCCAGTTCCTCCACGTGCCTCACCCTCAGGGACACACACAGTCCTGGCTCCCAGCCCACTTTGCCTACTCACCAGCTAGCCTGGCTGAGTTTTCACTAGCCATCACATGCTGACATAACGCACCTACACAGTATGCACACCCACACTCCCTCCAGCTGCTGGCACCACGGACCCATGGCTCCTCTGGCCTATGGTCCCACTTCAGTTGCTGTGCTCACAGCCCCATACCCACACATGAGAGCCCCTCACCCAGGAAAAGAGTTAAAAACAGCGTGTAAGAAGACAGGACAGACTGTGCTGATGAGGCACGGGGCATAGCCAGACAAGCATATCACTCAGAAGCCTGTGTACATGCAACTAACCTATTTTATCTCCTTATCCCTCTATTTTTCACAGAATCATAAAATGGTTTGGGTTGGAAGGGACCTTAAAGATCATTGAGTTCCAACCCCCTGCCATGGGCAGGGACACCTCCCACCAGCCCAGGCCCTCATCCAGCCTGGCCTTGAACCCCTCCAGGGATGGGGCATCCACAGCTTCTCTGGGCAACCTGGGCCACTGCCTCACCACCCTCACAGGAAAAAATTTCCTCCTAATATCCAGTCTAAATCTCCCCTCTTTCAGCTTAAAATCATTACCCCTCATCCTATCACTACACTTCCTGATCAAGAGTCCTCCCCATCTTTCCTGTAGCCCCCTTTAAGTACTGGAAGGACCACTTTTTTTCCCTCCCCAACCCACCTTGATCCTTCCTTTTCCCAACCTTTGGTTCCTCCCCTAAACATCACATAAGAAGTCTTGTGCAACCACAAGCTGCTCCTCCCCTGCATTCCAGAATGTGTCCCATACCCACAGGCAGTGTTCCCAAGAGGCAGGAGCTGCTCCTGTTGCTGCTGCTGGGTGTCACCCCAGAACATGGCCTGCCCTGGGACATGTTGGGCTGGTCCTTGTTCAGGGTCCTCACCTGCTTTTGCTTCTCTGCTCCTCTGTGTCTTGGGGGGAATGTGGTTTTTATCACTTACCCTAACATTGCCCACAGGTTATTCTTGTGGGCTGTGGAAGGAAGAAGAATGTAGTTCACAGCAGGCACAAGATGACACCAAGTCTGAAAAATTCAGCACTATGCAGAAGTTACACCCCAATTGTGACTGTGTTTAGGACAGATTAGAACCCATGTGCAGTGGTGTGTTTGTCAATCTTCACTGGTGGCTTCAGATGCCTTTTATTCATTCTAACCAAATTGATGTTGACCTTCAGGTTATACTTTCCTTTAGGGACCTGTTACTTTAAAGTCAAGTTTGCCATGTACAGAATTTTGCTTTTTTGAGTTACCTCTCTTGGGAAAAAAAAACCAACCAAAACAAACCCACACACAAAAAAACAAACCTCAAAATTAATTAAATAGAAAAATAAAAATAAATGCACATTGGGGAAAAAATTATCTTTGCAAAACTACAAGATACCTGAACAGATACTGTGGACATTTCCAAATTTTTCACATACACATGGAAACCACACATGGAAATCAAGGGAATAGTTTTCAGTTACAGAAGAGATACTGAAACAGCAGTTAAGAGTGCAGCTGCTGCAGAGCTAACCGTTATGAGCTAAATTAGAAGTTGCACAAATCGTTTTCCAGCCATATAAATCATTAAAGTTTGTTAAATTGTTGTATCCGTAACTGAGGTAAGCCAACCATTTAATTATATAATGTGTTATTTTCCTATATGTGTTATTCCTACAGTTTTTACTGTTGCTGAAAGTCCATTTGTGGGTTTTTTGCAAATGCTTTAAAATTATTAATAATCTCTACTTAAAAGACTAAAAATACATACCAGCTATTATCGTATATGAAATCTGACAGCAGTTAAAGTGTTGGTATCTGAACTTATTTGACTGCTTTTTTGAACAACTTTTACTAAGTATTCCTTATAGGTTTAAATATTTTTAGATTTGGGCAATTTGTTCTATAAGTAAGTCATGTTAAAAGGAAAGCAAAAATGTTCTAGATATTAGACAAGCAGTATAATGAATAGCAATAGCTTTTCATGCAATCACTTTTCATTAGAAGCCAAGCATCACAATCAAACTTTCATTGCATATTCATGCAAGGACTGATTCTGAATCCTGTGGAGCAAATAAAGCTCAGTAGAAAATTTAGGCACTCCAGAGGAAAAAGAACCCAGTGTTTCCCCTGCTTGCAATTTTTCCATTACAAATACATTCTATTTGCAAAAAGTTGGCACCGATTGTAGGCAGAGCAGGCCAGATCTTCACCTACCTACACAGGCAATGGTACATAAGTCATGGTAGTTTATCGTGGCTGTGGATTGGATCCAGAGGTCTCTGCTCAGCACTGTCCTGTTTCTGTGCACACCAGCACCAGGGAGCCACATGGAGTCACCAACCTGATTTCTTAGCATGAGGCACCACTTTGGCCTTGGTTTGAAGAGACCTGGAGGAAGCAGTGACCTGGCTCACGGGACCTGCTTTTCTGCTGGTTTTAGCACAACTTCCATGCAGGATTTCCAAATGTAGCAGCTTTTTGTTCTGAATGTCGGGTTGGTGAGTTTAGTATATCAGATTTGCAAAGTCTGTAAATAATTGGTCCACAAATAATGAACGCGTCAGGAAAGCTTGATTTTTAAATACAAGGAGGTAGACAATCAGGTGGGGAGCACAGATAGGACTATACCGGTATGGCATACCACAGCGCAGAGTATGTACAGCATTTAAAGTTGAAATGAAGAACTGTCAAGGCAGAGAACCTATCTGAAGATGTAGGATAGGGAAGCTCAGTGGTCCATCCATCCAGAGATGGCTGGCAAAGGAAGGTAAGTTAGCGCTGGGCAGCTTTAATTCCCGGCATTTATACTGGACCCGGAATGGTGCCATGGGTTGCTGCGTCCCCACCAAATGTAAAGGGCTCTGCAAAAAGAAGAAAAGCAGTAGAATCATTTAAGTTAGTCCAGTTAATGGAATCATCATTGGGTTTTAATATTAAGATACAAACATATTCTTGGAGCTTTGGTGGTAGAGAACCAAGACCAAATACTGAGAGTATTTCTTGGATTTGCTGAAGCCATTGACTAAGGCCTTCATGACTACTTTTTATTGCACTCACTCTGACAGAGGATGACACAAGATCTTAAGGAACTCTAATGGTTTTGAGTATCTTCACCGGCATAACTGCCTGTGGGCACAGACCCAAGTTACAATCAACTCCAGTGAGAGCTGGCATGGCAACACACCATCAGTCAGGAAGAGGCAACCTTCCTCCATATTCTGAGTGGACTTTCTACCACTGCTTGAGATCAATATCTCACTTTCTTCAAGGACAGCAGAGTTCTCCGAGCTCCCAACTGCCAGCCTAAGGGGCAATCGTACAATGCCCAGGCCACTCTAAACTCCTCCCTCTTCTTCTTGGCACTTTAGCTATAGGGCGTGTGTCATGTTCAGGTTGTGACAGGTAGATGTGCTCATTTAGCAGCAGTCCATGTTTGTGAGGAACAATGATTTTTGGGAAGTGGAAAGGAGGCAGTGCAAATGGAGAAGGAAATTACTACTGAGAGTAGAAACTGCGCGCTCTCCCTTAACAGTAAAATCTTTCTGTGTCACAGTTGTTCCTTCATTCTTACCCTAAACATTTATTTTCCACTGAGTATGTAGTGGAAGAGCACTGTGAGTGTTGCATCTGATTTCACATCTCTAATGTATTAATAATCCAGTTCCATAGTCATTGTTTTTGTGAGTGGCAGAAAGCAATTATAAAATCTCTTGTAATGTTTAGGCAATGATGAGACAAAATACTCTTGTAGCCGCTTTCTTGTAGAGACAGTGCAGCCCCACTAACATTGCTGGAGTTACTCTGGATTTTCTGAGTTAAAATGAAAATAGAGTTATTCAGTACATGCTTTATTAACACTCCTCTCAAAATTTTGCTTCATTATACATAACTACAGTTGACCACGGTTGTTCAGCTAAGCATGATGAATGAAGGATATAGAGATGTGAAATGCTATATAAATGTATGGATCTTTTACCTCCTTTGGAACCGCATCCAAAAGCACAAATTCATATTTGTATAGGAACAGCACAACAAACAACTGGATTTCCATGATAGCAAACCACCTGCAAGAAAAGCGAAGAAAACGTTAGCTGTCCAGCCTGGCCATCACACCTGTGTTATCACAAGATAAGAAACAGGGTGTCTTTGACACGTTTGACATTCCATGCTTTAGTTCTGCCTGAAAGTTTTTCTTCAGTAGGAAAATATGCTGTGGCTTTGTTCAGCTTCATTACCCAGTGAAGAACATGAACGTAGTGGCTGCCCCTTCTTCCTGGTGAAACTTTAGACCGACAGTATCCCTCCGACACCCTATTTTAAACCAGCCCCTTATCATTATGGGTTTTTCCACTGTGTAAACATTTATGTTCTTCTAATCCTTGCTGACTTGAAATAACTTCATAGGAGCGAGAAGACAGTCAAATATAGAAAAAGCTATATGACTAATTGTGCTATATAAAGTTATACAATACAGCTGGGAGCCTGATGACATCAGAGTAGCTGTGACAGCAGGAGTTATTATTTAATGCGTCAGCATTAGAATGCAGTATGAGACCCAAGGGCATGATTTTATTCCTGTAACACTCTCAAAAAGGTCTTTCTTAGTCAGTCGGGAGAAGATTTCAGATAACTGCAGGTGAACTCTTCTAGGCTCTTATTTTTTAATGTTGATATGTACAAGAGTTTTCTGCATTCAGGCACTAGCATGTACCTGTGCCAGGTCATGGGATTATTCACCTGCAGAATTTAGACATACATCTTAAACTCCTCATTAAAATAATAATACCACCTTGCTCTTCTATACAGTTTATTTTCCATTATCTGAGAGATGCTGGAAAACTTGGATGAAACAGCCATTGGGGAATTCACTGTGGAGAAAGCCACATGACTGCACATGGCGTCAGCCTGGATTTAGCCGGGCAGGTGTGAAGAGGAAGCTAATAAGTCCCACGAGATGCAAGCTAACGCCTGCAGAGCCATCCAGATCTGCGCACTGAGCCGCCCCGTGCTCCGGAGTGGGAGGATGCTCGTTTGTTTTGGCGTAGCTTCAGACCCAAATTATCTCTGGGATTTCACATTGGAATTACCTTGAGATAGGGAACTTTTGGTGGCCTTGAACTCTGGGGAATTCAGTGCAGAGATATTTCAATGGAAATTAGTGCAGATCAGGCAGGACTTAACTAGCCCGAACTCCATGCTAGCAGCACTGTACGAAGGTTCACCTGCAATCTGTCTGAGCAGCAATGGATATAACCAATAACCAACTGCAGCACTTCCCACCATTAGCTCTCAAAGTGCTTTTCCCATCAGGCTGCTGCTGTTATTCTGCTCTGCAAGCAGAGATGCTGTGACACAAGGAGGATAACCAACGTCTCTGAGGGTGGGGAGAGGGACAGTCAGAATCATAGACTGGTTTGGGTTGGAAGGGTCCTCAAAGATCATCGAGCTCCACCCCCTGCCATGGGCAGGGACACCTCCCACTAGCCCAGGTTGCTCAAAGCCTCATCCAGCCTGGCCTTGAACACCTCCAGGGATGGGGCATCCACAGCTTCTCTGGGCAACCTGGGACAGTTTCAGTTTCTTATTTATATCTAATCTAGATCTCCCCTCTTTCAGCTTAAAACTGTTACCCCTTGTCCTGTCAGTCCACCCCTTGATGAAGAGTCCCTCCCCATCTCTCCTGTAGCCCCCTTTCAGCACTGGAAGCTGCTCTAGGTTCTCCCTGGAACCTTCTCTTCTCCAGGCTGAACAACCCCAACTCTGTCCCAACAACCTCTGTCTGAACAACCCAAGCCTGTCCTTGTATGGGATGTGTTCCAGCCCTCTCATCATATTCGTGGCCTCCTCTGGACTCAGTCCAGGAGTGAAAGGCAGGACTGCGGAGTCCCAGTGCATCCTTCTCCCCCACAGCACATTGTACTGAGCAGAAATCGTGAACTTTCCTGCAGCTAAATGCCCCTGAGTTCCCACCTGTGCTTTGTATTCATGACTGAATCAGAGTAGTTTTCATCTAAAAATTGAAGTTTAGAGGACACCGATTCCCTGTTTTATTTAGTGACCAGGGGGTTTGACAAAGATGCACTTTCTGAAATCTTGCCCCCAATACACTGCTAAGTATTTGTGTTGTGCTGGAACCCAGGAGCCCAGGCGGATTGAGGTCCTGCAGTAAATGGAGTCTGAGAGTGAAATCATGGCTGTTGTGATGAAGAGTTTACAGGGTCAGCATAAGATAGGAGACAACAGATGGTGCCATGCAAGATAAGCACAGTCGCACAGGCAATAGGCACCTGGTTAGACAAAAGTAGCTTCACTGCCATCAAGTTTTTCCTTTAGGTAGAAAAGATGGTACAGAAATGGCTTTGTGGGAGCTCTTCCCATGTCTGTTTGCTAGAATATTTGACAAGTTATTTTCTAGTTTTCGGTTTGATTAAAGCAGATTTTAATTTCATGATGAACTTTTGCAATGGAGAAATTAAATGTTTAATACATTTCATTTATAAATCCTAGTACTGAATTAAATCAAAATGCATCTTAAACTTGAAATATCATTGTTTCACTCAGTCATACCCAGTAAATCTGCAACCTGGGATCTAGATACATCCCTTGATTTAATTTCCTTTCTTCCAAGACCACCACACTATTCTTTTAGAATTATTGTTGAAAAACATGAAGGTGCATGTTACTGGACTGCCACAGGGTTTGAAAGAACTTTTTGTCTGTCAGCAAGAAAAATATTCTCCATCCATTGTCTATGTAGAAATGTTATCATTTTCTTTCTAATCACAAACTTATTTTAAAGATATTATCACAGTCCAGAGAACAGCCTGAACAAAGAAGTAGGTCGGTATATACAAACAAGTAGCTTTCAGAAACATTGTTTTGCAGCTTGTCCTGTACCTGCAGATGCCTCTTGTGAATTCTGCTGTAGCCCTTGCTGGGAGTGAGGCCGTGCTCATATTTAGCTCAGGTATATGGTACAAGTCAGGTGCTGTGCTCAGTGAGTGAGCACTTTCCTCTGGCAAGCCTAAATGGTGAATGCAGTTTTATTCATTTTGTTTAGGTCTTTAATGCCGTCACAAAGTTTATCTGACAGTCATGTCCAGCCTGCTATAGTGTGCAATTCAAGAATGCAGATCCTCTGCAACACCCTCTGGTTTCCTTTCTCCACATGGGACTCTTGAGTTAAATTGGCCAGTTTTAAGGATTCTTGGTTATTTGCTTCCTAGAGGAGACCAGGTTTTGAAGGCAGACAATTGAGCATAGAGATGTTTGAACACAGAAACGAGGAGCAGCTGGCTCCCTGGGACTAGTTCCAGGAAGAGGGACAGCAGAGAAAAACAGCAGAAGGAATGCAGGAAGGACTGAGGCTGGCATTGCTGGAGGAGTGAAGAGACACAGGATCTGCAATTTAAGCCATCATACAATTACGTGGGCCTTAATGCAAAGACAAGATTCAAACAGAGAAGAGCCAGTTAAGACATTTGGAGATTTGCAAAAATGTCAGTGGCATCGTAGAGGATAGAAAGAGAGTCTCAGACCAGAGAAATGTTCTTTAGGTTAGTTTAGAACTCATATATGGGAATGTAAATACCTGTAAACTGTCATGTTTGTAGGTGGAACAACTTTCCCTTGATGAAAAGATGCCTCAGCAGCCGCCAAGCTAGGCTGCCTTTCCTCCCTGGGGGATATCTCTTGATACACTGGTCTCAGATTCTGCTTTTACATTATGACTTAACCTGTCTTTTCCAGGAATAAAACCACTTTCAAATCAGTTTAAACAAGGTCCAGATAATACTGAACATTAGGGGACTGACAAAGAGCAAAGCAATGAAAACACTTGATCTCCAAGTGTAAGAGGAGCCCAGTTCAAGAGAGTTGTTCTCTGCAGGGTTTGGGAATAAATAAACCCCAGCTGTTTCACTGACCTTCCTGGACACTGATGCTTCCCTCCTCCGAATGCCACAAAGCTGTCCAAGAAAGCATTCTTCTCTAAATTTGCCTCTTTCCAGCGATCCTGTGGGAAGAAACTTTTTTTTTCCAAATCAGCCTTATATAAATAAAGCTTAACTTTATTTCTCCAGGCTAAAAATTACTTTGGACAGCTAATCCTCAATACAACATTGCACTAATGCCTTTTTTTTTTTTTTTTTTTTGCAGTCAACCTGTTAAGAGTCTGGATTCAAAAGTCAGCATTGACTCAGTGAAAGAAATGAGGGTCCCATCTGAAACATATTTAGGTGCCTCAAAGTGCTGGAGATGTTTTCAAAATTGCCCCTAAAGCATTCTTCCCATACCTCCCCATTTTTCTAAATCCTGCATCTTGAGCTGTTGAAATGCCTCTAAAAATGTGATTTATTCCTTTTAAATAGACACACATTCAAAGCAACTGTTCAACCAGTACCTTCCCCCAGCCACAATACTCTATCATGGCACACAAATGGCTCATGCACATCTTGCACACAAACCGTTTCTAAGGTTCTGTGCAAGATGTGAGAGAAAGGCAAGGACTGCACAGCTCCCTTCTCAGGTACAAGCCAGCGTGTGAGAAAATGAACTCTTCTCAACAAAACCAGCCTCTCTGTACCCAGAAGACTTCTTGTTCCATCTTGAGTTGCTTTAAGAGAAAAGGACCAACACAAGGAACAAGGCAATATGGACTAAGTTTGGGTGGGTGACGCTGGCAGAAGTAAATCTCTTGAATGCCGGCTGTCAAACTCTACTAACCTCCAGAAAGTCAGTACAACTCAACCAAGGCCTTCAAGTAACATCCTGTCAAGTCTGTGGTGGCTACCTCCTCTGATGAAGCTGTCTTAGAAAAGATGTAAGCTTATGTTTCTTTATTTTGGACTTTTTTCTGCTAGAGCTGTTTAGAGCTTTCTGAAGAAGAAACCTGTTAGCATCAAAATCTAATAAAAGCAAGAAAAAAACTCAGTGGTGATGAAGAAAGGTGATACATTGTCCAAGGGGTACTCACCTATTCCTCACAGAAAAAGGGTGCATTTATAAAAAAAGAAGTTAGCTTGGTTTCTAGGAATAAAGTTGCTAAAGAAATAAGCAGCTGCATCAAAGATTCTGCTTTGGATTTCAAACAGGCAGGAATTGTTATGAGAGATTTCAAATTGGTGAAGAGTTTGCTAGAAATGAAGTTTTGTTTAAATTACTCCTTGATGTATTTCTATAAAAAAGACAAACTGTTCTGTATCAGATGGTGCTAAAAAGAGCAGTTACCAGCCTGCCCACGCAGCCTCATGGAGTGGAATAATAATCAAGAAACTCTAGATGAACTACTGAATTAGCAGAGCTAATACCTACCAGAAATCATCTGACTGGAAAGACCAATAATCCTGGGTAAACACGTGGGGATGAGCTATGCAACAAATGACAGGGAGAGGAGAGGACTTGGAATCAAAGAATCATTTAGGTTGGAAAAGATCTTTAAGATCAAGTCCAGCCATTAACCTGACACAGCTGAGTCCCACTAAACCGTGTCCCTGAGTGTCACATCTACACCTCTTTTAAATACCTCCAGGGATGGTGACTCAACCACTACCCTGGGTAGCCTGTTCCAGTGCTTGAAAACCCTTTCAGGGAAGGGATTTTTCCTAATATTATTTGGAACATATAACTGAACATTAAAGTCTTGTTTATTCCTACAGGCTCCTCCTTTTTGTGCACATCTTCTCTGTACACAAGGCCATCCTCCAGACAACAGGGAATACCCAATTTTAAGCCAATTTGTCCATGTGCTTTTGTTGTGAAACAAGGGAAGAGAAGAAAAGACAGCAAAATACCCACGTTAAGAGGGACAACTTACAGGCTTGAACATTTCTGGGTCAGGAAAATATTTTGGATTCCTGTGCAACCAATATGGTGACAACATCAGCATGTCACCTGCAGGGATGATAAAATTCTGAAACGGAGAAAAAGCTCTAAGAAAAGGAAAAATCACAGATTCAACTCACAAAACAGTCCCTCCTTAGTACTTCTCTTACATCAGCAGAAGGTCTTCACAGAGGACAAGTGAAGGGGGTAAAGCCACAGTGGGCATATTATATGTTTGAAGCTTCTTCTTGCTGTTGCCATTTTTTTTCCATAAGAAAGACCTGAACAGTGGAGAATATGGAAAGACTATTTTTGTTCTAATTTGTTTTTTCAGGTATCAAAAGAATAGAAACATTATTTCTGTCTTTCCTTCTTCTTGATGTACTGTGTGAGCTGGTATTTTTTTCTAAAGCACTTCCTTCAATGCAAAGAAATTCATAGAAATTCTTAAATGACAGTAGACCTTTATGGGACTTTAATAATTTCTTAAATAGGCATAGCCACTGATTCCTTAAGAGGGTGTTTTTCTCCCAAACATTTATTTGCTAGACTCCTGAATGCCCACACCTCCTTTCTGAATGGCAGTGAAGTGGACAAACAAAAGGAGTTTTATCAGTAACTAAATTGTGGTCCCTTCTGCTATATTCGTTGTAGCTGATTGCTACTTCATATACCATCAGCACGGTATCTCCAGCTGAATTCAATTAAATTCAAAAACAATTCAAAAGGTAAGACTGTGAGCAAGAGAAGCAAAATGACTCTCAAATTAATGATGATGAAAAAATCTGTTAAACTAAACGTAATATATATGTGAGATTGTAGAATACCTCTACTATTTTAAATTTATCTCAATTTACTGGGAGGCCCCTTTCCAGATGAACCACAGAGCATCCTTTTGAGGAAAAAAGAAAAAAAAAAAAAAGAATCTCACCTGAATTTTTATTGGGTTTACTACTTTCTTGGTGATTGCACCTGGAGACCTCAGCTGTATGGCTTCCAACATGCACCATTTATTAAATGGGAGCTTCTTAAGGTCCTCTTCAGAAACTTCTATTTTATCTTTACCTGTTACAGCAAGAGAAAGAAAACTCTGTAAAAATTAGATTCCATGCTTGTTTTGATATATGCTGAAATGACTTGCAGTAGACCTTCTGATAGAATACCTCAAGACTTTAAAGACCTTGTTTACACCCAGAAATTTTCTTTAGATTTCAAACTAAATAAATGGACCAAAATCAGTACAACTGAAGAAAAGACAATGAAGAGAATTTAATAACTCTAAGGGAGCTGTAGATGTGGCATTGGCCAGAAGAGGCCAAACAAAGGTCATGTTGAAAGTTAAAAGTCCCTGGACTTTTTCAGTGCTTTGGTAGGACACTGCATGGAAATCTCAGGGACAGTAGGCACCAAGACAAGGAGTCATGGCTGAGCTTTTGCACTGTGTTAACACCAGCAAATAAAACAGGGCCAGGAGAAAGGCTTAAGCACTGCTTCGTTATCATCCTTATTGGTTAATTATTGACATTTTCCTTGATGTGGTTTTGACCCATGTCAACTAAGAGTTTTCCATGAAAGTCTAAACACAGTTCAGGGGATGCACATGTGAATGATTGCTCCCAGTAGGTGACTGAAAGAGTCATGTGGTGGTGAATCATGCTGGACAAATTGGCCTCAGATGAGAGAAAAGCGAATAGTTCCTGGCCTGCTTTTCCACGGAATAGCTGTAACTCTAGTGAACATAACACCATGTAAAGCAGCTGAATTGAAAGACCTCATCTGACCCTGTTGTAGATGCATGAAAAAAGCACAAGACTTGTTAATACAAAACTAGGTCTAAATGATAGGTGTGGAATGAAGAGACAAATACCTACAGTTCCTTTTCTACCTTCTTTTGCTAACATCAAAGGTGTTTTTGCTTAAAAATATGTCTTGAGCATATGCAGAGTGAAGAACCTACAGCTGGACTCTGTTACCAGCAGTACCCTTAGCAGCAACATTCATTACTCCCAGCCATTGACCACTGGCCATGTGCTGGACCAACACAGAATAAATCATTTCTAGGTTACAGAAGGACACGATCGGATTTATTACCTGCTTTGCCAAAAACAGAAGCCAGGTCTTCCATTATCTTCTTGTAAATTGAAAGATCAGAGAGTATGAAGACAAGGGTCCAAAATGCAATCTAAACAGAGATGAAAGTACTTTAACTCAGGAATATGGAACAGAATTACAGTATCTTTGTAGCAAATCTCAGGGGCAGGTGAAAATATTTGTACTTTTTTGGATGAGCCTGTTGTAGCTGAGATGCTTGGGGAGCTGTGCTTCCAGTCTAAATCCACATCTAAGGGCTCAGATCCTGGGAGATTAGGTCTAGTCATCTCCTGTGTACTTGTCTTTGTGCTTTGACCTTTGAAACACAGAATCCTTTCTTTAATTTCAAATAACTAGGTGTTAAAATGAATTACTAAATCATTGTGTGTGATTAGATTTAGCTGTAGGAATGGAAAAAAACTTAAATAGTAAATTCCTACTAATATTAGCAGAAATGAGGTTAAATAATTTGCAGGATATTGTCACAGTGAGTCACACTGAAACAGGCAGGAGAAGTTTTAATTAACAGCAAAACAAGCAGTAGTATATCCCCTTTAGAAATAATTTGCTAACTGATTATGCAATGAAGTAGAAAATCAAGAAATTTAGGAAAGGAGAAAATCCTCTTAAGTAGGATGAAACCAGAAGGACTCGCAGCACTGCCAGGAGCCTCTCTCCTCTTGCTGAGCTAGCGGGAGATGCAGTCTGCACGCAGATCTGGTCACTGGCCATCTGTGCTGGTGAGGGATGAGAACTCTTACTGTTATTTCCCAAACAGTCCCACATGGATGCAGCCCTCCTGCAAAATAAATCTGGGAGCTTAGTTTTCTTGTACAGCACTTGGACACTGTGGCTTCACTCCATAGGCTGTGGAGGAATAACTGAATTGTTTCAGATAAAAGGGTTTCATGCACTTGTGAAAAAATCCCCTTGGAAGGTGAAAGGACTTTTTTCATCATTCCAGTCCCCAGAACAGTAGTGTGACTATTCTGAGAAACAACAAAATATCTGTATGTCTATTTACAGCTGAATATTACAGAAGTAAGTAATGATGGTGTTGTGGAAGGAATGTCAGTTATCCTGATAACAGACAGCAGGCTATGCCTCTCACTTAGACCAACATGTGAATCTACAGAACCCACACTGAAAGGGATGAAATCCCTTTAGGGTAAATTGTAGTAATAGCCAATCTACCAAACACATAGATGTAGCCATTAAGAGTACATATAAAAATAACTCACTATCTTTTTTTTTTTTTCTAAATCACATCTGTAATGGAAATAACTGTGCTGGAAAGAGTTTAGTATTCATGGTAAAGAAAGGATGGTTTTGCTGCTATGGATTTTTCATCTGAGGAACTCCTATAAATGTCTTTGATCAGCCTGAGTTGTGTTAGATATATTGGGCTTGTTAGCATACGTATATCTGTATCATTAATCCGTCAAATCCATCTCTAACATAGACAAAACTTAAGTGGCAGTAGAATCAAACAATTGCTTTTCTTCCCCTGAAGCAACACTGGCATTTGTACAGCACATTCCCCAAAGCAAAAGAGCCAAAATCACTCAAGGATTTACACACAGATTAAATTACTCTATATTATGCTTTTGATATTCTTTACAATTTATAACACCAGGCTATTTAAAATAGAGCCTCTACTATAATACAGCCACAGTGCTTCAAATAAATAGAGTTAAATGATCTTCACAGCTTAAGACTGTGATCTTAATAGCTATGAGACATATGTTCCCAAAATGTTATGACAGCATGGGTTCATGAAAGGAAGGTCGTGCTTGACCAACCTGATCGCCTTCTGTGACCAGGTGACCCGTCTAGTGGATGAGGGAAAGGCTGTGGACGTTGTCTGCTTCGACTTTAGCAAGGCCTTCGACACCGTGTCCCACGGTATTCTCCTAGAAAAGCTAGTGGCTCGCGGCTTAGACAGGAACTCTTTGCTGGATAAAAAACTGGCTGGATGGCCGAGCCCAGAGAGTCATGGTGAACGGAGTTAAGTCCAGGTGGCGGCCGGTCACCATTGGTGTACCCCAGGGATGGGTTTTGGGGCCTGTCCTGTTTAACGTCTTTATCCATGACCTGGATGAGGGGATTGAGTGCTCCCTCAGTAAGTTTGCTGATGACACCAAACTGAGCGGGTGTGTTGACCTCCTTGAGGGCAGGGAGGCTTTGCAGAGGGATCTGGACAGGCTGGACCCATGGGCTGAGGCCAATTGTATGAAGTTCAATAAAGCCAAGTGCTGGGTCCTGCACTTGTAATTTTATACATATATCTGAGTTTATATATGTTTATGTATACAAATGTCTATTATATAGTTCTATAGATATCAACAGCTATACATATATAAAGGGATGAAGGTATAGAGACAGATGGGCAGATCTAAAGGGCACAGATAGAGGCATATATAGGCATAGACATCTTGATATAAAGCTGGGTATTGATATGGATAGATCTGCCCCTATATATATGTATATATACGCACTTGTGTATATATATCTATTTGTAATTTTCACGTGTGCACATATATACATAAAAATATATATGTAACTATTTCAGTATATTTACATGGATACGTACGTATCCAGATATCTACCTATAGGGATATATCCGTACAGCTATATGTGTATAGAAACCCGGTCCTGCAACACTCTGCCGCAACGCGCCAGAGGAAAAGGAGGTTGCAAACCTGTCTCGAAACAAAAATTGTGGGTTTTTTCTACATCCAAAGATGGAAAATCTGGCAATAGCTGCCAATATCTATAGACAGGTACGGCTATGGGCAGAGAGAGATCCCATGATATATACGGGGGGGTAGATGACCCCCAGCCCCACGTGTGCCTGCCTGCAGGCTGCATCCTCCTGTGTGCACCCATGGCACCATCCTGACCCCCAACGGCATCCCCGTCCCCCGCAGGTCCTTCCGAAGTTGTCGTCTTCCATCGTCCACGAGATCGAGAGCATCCTAGCCAACAAACCCTACAGCAAGAAGGACTACAGATCCTAAGCGCGCGCCCGCCACCCCTTCGCTTGCTTACGCTTTGTTGGAGCAAACTGGAGAGCGCGGTTTGCACCGCGAGCGCCGAGAACCAGCACTCCCGCCCGCGTGGCCCCGGACCACCACTCCGCTCCCCCCAACATG